GGACTCCTCTTCTTCTTCTTCCTCCACATCCGGTTTTAAATTCTTTCCCTTCTGCTTCTTTTTTACATTAAACATTTGATCCATAAATCTTTCTGCTTTTGGAACAGAGTCAATTTTATATTTTTTATCCTGGTAATTAAAAATCAACCTTTCTGGGAATAGCCATCTATACTGTGTTCCCTTTTTTTGCAGAGAGAGGGTAAGCATTCTGTATAGTTTCCTCCGTTTTCTTACTTCAAATGGGATGTCTTTCAAAAATTTTATCTCTTCATTCTTGATTTTTAAGGATTTCCCCATTGTTGACTTTAGCACCAGTTCTCTGGTTGATCGTTTAGTGAATTTTAAGTAGATTTCCCCTGGAAGTTTATTTTTCTTTATAAAATCCGGATAAGTCCTGTACGCCACATCCATTTCCTTAATTAAGTCTTCTTGTTTATAATCCATTAGTGGGGCCAAGGCAACCGCCAAGAGTTCCTTTAAGTCCTCATTCTTATCCTCAGGTATTCCATGAAAACATAGAACATACATGGATCTTTCCAGCTGGAGCTGTATTAGTTGAGTTGGTCTCTCCTTCTCTGCTTCGTCCACTCTTTTATTAATACACTCAGTCTGTTTTCCATCTTTTTCAACATTTTCTCGGTTGCTGTGGTTCTCTTGTCCATTTGCTTTAACTGTTTCTGCACATTGTCTAGTTTGGTGTAGAGAGTAGTCATCTGATCCATTAGAGGGCGCAGTGCATTTGCTAACAATGAAGAAAGGTCTGTAGATGCTTCCTGGTTCTGGGAGGGAGTCGTTGGTATGTTATTTCTGGTCATCAGTTTTTTCTCTAGCGCTCTCCGTCCTCTCCCAGCCATAATATCAACAAGAAGTAAGTTTTCCAAAACAAAGCAAAAGTTATACGTTTTAATTCCGCTTTGTATATTTTAGCAGCTTTTGCATTCGCTTAGCTTCTTATACGCTTGGTTTGGCTCAAAGTTTCTTTATTTTTGCTTTAAAACCGTTTTTACAGTTTACTCATATGGAGGGGGGGGGGCTTGAAATCTCCTCCTCCCGCGCTTCCAACTTAGGCACTTCCAATTACTACCAAGGCTCGATTCGCGTATTTTTCGCCTGAGCTTTCCTTAACTCACAGTTTGTAGCCTTGGAGATCTTTAGAAGTCTTTTTAGTAGCTTGGTCATGATAGCTTGCTCCGGCAGTCGTCTCTGGGCACCATGCTGGCTCCGCGGCGACGGTACCTATCGGGGAAGAAGGTGAGCCTCAATTCCTTGGGCGTCCCCTTGGAAGAGGCTCTCCTCAGCTCCCCAGGCTGGGGGTCTTCTACAGAGACCCCAGGGGGGTCCGGGGCAAACTCGAACCCCTGACGTCAGCCGGGTCTCGGTGCATCTCCATCTGAGCGAGATGAGACGCATCCGAGCAACGAAACGCTTACACCGGAAGTCATCTTTTTAGATTTCTGATTGGTTCTACAACCCAAATCCTATTGTATTGTTTGTTGAATACCCCATCCTGTCGATTGTATTGACCCACTCTGTGTAATCCGCCTTGAGTCCAAGTGGAAAAGGCGAACTATGAATGATGTGATAAATAAATAAATATCCCATTGCTTTGTGATTGTCTTCCATCAGTGGGTGAAGACTTTTTTGTTTTGTTTGGCATACCCCGCAAACTCTTATTGGCCCTCCTTCCTGGTTGTGTTTGTATGTCTGTATTTTTTTTAAAATATTTATATATACATTGTAAAATGCTATTTTAATGTTTAAAACAATTTAATGCTTTTATATTTGCCACCTTGGGGACCCTATTTGAGGGGAAAGGGAGCATTTAAATGTTTTAAATAAATAAACAAAAGGTTGCGGTGGTATAAAAGGCAATGATGTTATACAGGGTAGTGAAATCCTTGCCCTGAAAAATCCTAGTTTCTGATATTTCATCAGGCAGTTTGAAGACATTTTCAAAAAAAGAAAAGATTAAAACCCATATCAAAATATCAATTGGGAGGCCCTCCAAATTTCAAGAAATTGAGCATTTTTATCACACACAAAAATATGTCTCTAATCCAAGTAGACCAGGCATGGGGCTTCTGTATGTTCAAACAAATATTTTATTTGAATGAAAGATGTAGCTCCACAAGTTTTAGTAAAAAAATAATTCTATTTGTTTACTAAGACTAAGAATATAAAATCATCTGACCAGTGGTCCATCTAGTCCAGCATCCTGTTTCACACAGGGACCAACAAACAGGCCACAGAGGTCAAGAACTAGGGATTTCTGTCCCACAATGTAAATAAATTGCAATAACAAAGGTGAGGAAGTGAAGTGTCAGATGATGAGTCTTCTGGATTGCCAGTCTTCACGGGATGTTTTTGATGAATCCCTCCAGAGTGAGAGATGGAATACATGGGATAACCATTAGGTGGCAGTATTAAAATGTATTATTTTAAAAGTAAATTTAGTCTATTTTTAATATATCCAATATTAATTGTATCAATGGCTATACAGCAGAGCCACCTACTTTTCTGAGTGTTATGTCTGCTGACCGCTACCAGGGGCCAGCAAATACCCCAGAGCTTGACTCTGGAAGAACAATGGGGACCAGGCTCCTAGGCTTTCAACTTGGGAACCAATAGGACCGTGGCGGGAGATTTAAACCCACCAACGGGACCTAGGGGGGTGTCCCCAGGTGTGTATATAGTTGGCCAGCCGGCCGTTAGTCTTTGTCTTTGTTGTGTACCAATAAACCATGCTGATCACTACATCGGTCTCAGTGGTTTCTACATGCGTCTAACCCGCTACACTTCACTGAGAGGACCCTTCACATCCATTTACCTGGACCCGAAAGGCAGAGATCTTGTCTCAGTGAGAAAGAGGAACTATAAACTGGGGTGGTGTGTGGGGGGGGGGGCTGGAAATAGCTAAACAACTGTAAAGCAGTACTGAAAGACAGACCTACTGGCATTCCCTCTTTCATGTAACCCTTGGGTTGCAGTATTTCTCATGTTTACTTGGATGTAAGGTCCATGAACTCAGTGGGACTTGCTTCTGAGTAAATGCCCATAGGGCTGAACTGCAAAGACACAGGCTCTCCCTTCCCCTATTCAGCAATGGCCACACCGGTGATTAGATCTGGGCCTCAAGAGCAGCAGCTGCCCTGCAGCCGCCTTGGTCAAGCTCTGGTTTTCTTGGTTTCTTTTTAAATGTTTACCCCCCCTGGATTCTGTGGACACAATTGTCAGCAGAGTGTGGATACGGATTCTTTCAACAAATGTGTGAGCAAATAAAAAGGGCTATTCCATCATCATCATCTTAGATTTCTGAATGGCCCAATCCCACAAGCGGACTCTTGAGCGATTTACAGCTTTAAAACAGATAAAATCCAATCAACATGATAAAATTATTACAGTGCACTAATAAAACTACCAATCCAGATGGCAATCAACCCCTTTCTGCCGTCTGCTATGCCCAAAAGTAAAAAAGTTTCTTGTGGCTTCCTCCTCTCCCCACTGCCCTTTCTGTTCCACTTGATTGCCTTACTTGTACCTAGGACAGTGTGGTAAGGTTTTTAAAAGGTTAGCCACAGCTGACTTCTCCATCATGTGTGTATCGAGGATCTGGACTTTCTGCTCAAATTTATAAGGCTGGAGGGGGGGGGGCTCCACCCCAGATGATATCATCATACCCCCGAATTGGATTTTGAAGGGAGTCTAATCCCACAGGGCAAAGGAAGTCGTTGTTCAAATCCCACCCGAACCATGAAGTGATTCTAAGTCTACTTTCTCTCAGTCTTACCTATCCTACAGGATTGTTGTGAGGATATAAGGAAGGGGCTGAGAATGGGCCCTTTCATTTTTTTCTATATCTAAACAATCTTCCTTGAGATCTATACCAGGCAGGTAGATAAGTGGTGAATAGGGTGACCTTCTAGTATAGAAAGCTATTTAAATGTAATGGTTAGACAGCTGAAAGGAAAGGCCTGAGTTCAGATCTCTACGGTCTCTATCACAACATTCGCTGAGTGATTTTAGACCAGTCCCTTCCTCTCTGCCTAATCTCCTCATTGGATTGTTGTCAAAATAGAAACTTTAGCAGCAGCCCAGGCTAACCAGATTTCATCGGCTCTCAGAAAATAAGCAGGGTCAGCCTTGGTTAGTGCTTGGATGGGAGACCATGAAGGAAGTCCAGGGTCTCTATGCAGATGCAGGCGATGACAATGCCTATCTTAATATCGCCTGCATTAAATACTCTACAGGGTCGCCATAAATTGACTGCAACTTGAGGGCACTTTCCACCAACACCACCAAAAATAAAATCTGTGTGTGGGGGTGTGTGTGATGTATGCTCCTCGAAGGATGGGATGAAAATGTGCTACATAGTAGCAACACAAAATCAAAAAGAGGCTCTCATGTCCAAAGCTCCTGCATTTTTGTGATAAACTCTCCCGCAGATAAGTGGCTATTGGGTGGCGGCGGCACAGTTCGCCACAGCTGCAGTACCACACTCTGCCAGGAGGGGGGGGGTCTGCGCAGGGACCTGTGCTCGCTCAAAATCAGCAAGGGTTAAGTGAAGGCAAACTGCTCTTTTAAAAACAAAACTTTTTACCTGTTTGTTTTTAATCCTGTACAAGGAAACAGCAGGGAACATCACAGCCCTGCAGCCAAAAACTGCGCGTAGGAAAAAATGCCAGCTATGCCAGTGTGCCCTACCAGCTTCAGGCTTTTTTTTTTTTTTTTTGGCATTTTATTTTTATATCTTTGTTTCGAGCGCCTGCACCCAGGCAGCATCAAAGGCTTGTACCCTTATAAAGGAAGCTGCCTCTCGGCGGCGTCCCGGGCTGCCTGCCCCCAACGCCCAGGGACCCCCCGTGGCTCCCGCCCTCCCGCCTCCCAAGCGCTTTCATCTATATAAGGCAGAATCCTCGCCTCCCCTCCCCTCCTCTGCCTTCTCCCAGACCCAAATCCAGCGTCCCACAGCTGGGCTGCTGCCACCCCTCGGCGCTCAGCATTCTTTCGCCTTGTATGGCCAAATCCTTTGGGGTGGGAGGGAACAGTTTGGGCAAACTCTCTCCTCCATTGGCTGCTCCCGCCGTCTGATCCCGCTCGAGCCCAAACGGGGGAGATTAAAACAACAGCTAGTTAATTGCATCTCTTTGCGGGAATCGGAAACCCTTTTGTCCACCTCGAAGGGTTCGCGCAGGTTTCCGTCTGAGGCAGGTAAGGGCGCTTCCTTGACTTCTGCTTAAGACATGCGTGGGTGGGTAAAGGGAGACTTCCCTTTCGCAGAGAAATAACGATGAGAGGACCATGATAGGAGTGTCATACGCACTAGATCGCTCTGCTGGGTCGCCTCATCCATCAGTCCAGAGTAATTACTAATACCGTCTGGGTTGGGGTGTGTGTGTGTGTTTCAACAGACTAACAGAGATATACACCCTCTGGAATTTGCTTGATCTGATGCAGTGGGCTCCGATCCAGGAAAGTTTATGCCAGGGCAAGGGTCTAAGGCTGCACATTTCGGGTGGGGTGGGGTTGCAGCAGATTAATAGTCAAGAGGTGATCTTTGGTGCCAGACTGGGTCCTTAATTCCTTTCTGAAACATTGCATAGGCACACGTGGTTAGCAGCCTCCTGGGTCTTGGGGGATTTCCCCTTTCTCTTTTTAAAGGGTTTCAATATTCTTGTGGCATCCAGCCTGAGGAAGGGGACTGGTGAAGTTGGATTGCACACTGTTCAGTCTCATTTGGTGGGTCTGAATGAAAGGCATGATGGGGAGGGCATCCTGATTTGCTTTCACAGACATGCCCCCCTCCCCCCCCGCTCCCAAGAGGTGGTTGATTTCTGAGGCTCCACCTGATTTAAATGCTGAACCCAAGGAGGAGGGCGGGGAATGTCAATGATGAGGTGCCCACTCTTGGGGTGGGGCCCTGGCTCAATGGTAGAGCATCTACTCTGCATGCGGAAGGTCCCCAGGACACATCAGTGGTGCGGCTGAGCAAAAGGCAGCTTGGGGCCTGGGGATGGGGTAGGGTTGAATGGCAGTCCATGCACTGGACAGTGGCCCCGCCAGCCTGCCTGGGCTTGCCATTGGACTACATGGGCTCAGATGATGGTTTGTGAGCAAGTTGCATGGAACTTGTATCTGATAGCACCCATCTGATTACACCCTTCAAAGAGGGCTCAAGAATGCTCTTTGACACGGAAAACCAAACCATCAGTTCTAGATGTGGGGTTTGAGAGGAGGGGGAAGATATAGGTGCTCAGTGGTGATCAGAATGCATTCTACACATGCTCATAGGTAAAGGTAAAGGTTCCCTTGCTCGAAAGCCAGTCAAATCCGACTCTAGGGTTGCGGTGCTCATCTCCGTTTCAAAGCCGAAGAGCCAGCGCTGTCCGACGACGTTTCCGTGGTCATGTGGCTGGCATGACTAAACACCAAGGCGCACAGAACGCTGTTACCTTCCCACTGTAGTGGTACCTATTTAGCTACTTGCAATTTCTTGCTTTCGAACTGCTAGTTTGGCAGGAGCTGGAACTAGAGACGGGAGCTCACTCCGTCATGCAGCACATTCAGGTCTCGAACTGCTGAACTACTGACCTTCCACAGCCTGCAGTTCAGCGTCTTAACCACTTGAACCACTGCAGCTCCTTGCTCATAGGTACACATATTTTCTCAGTGGAGGGTGGTAAGCAGTGGGGTACCGCAGGGATCAGTACTTGGTCCACTGCTTTTTAACTTGTTCATTAATGATTTGGAGTTGGGACTAAGCAGTGAAGTGGCTAAATTTGTGGATGATATGAAGTTTTTCAGGGCGGTGAAAACCAGTGAGGATTGTGAGGCACTCCAAAGGGATCTGTCAAGGATGGGCGAGTGGGCGGCAACATGGCAAATGGGGTTCAGTGTGGCCAAGTGCAAGGTGATGCACATTGGAGCCAAAAATCCTAAATATAAATACACATTGATGGGGTCTAAACTGGCAGAGACTGATCAAGAGAGAAATCTTGGTGTCGTAGTAGATAACTCACTGAAAATGTCGAGACAGTATGTGACTGCAATAAAGAAGGCCAATGCTACGCTGGGGATTATTAGGAAGGGTATTGAAAACAGATCAGCCAATATCATAATGCCCCTATATAAATCAATGGTGCGACCTCATTTGGAATACTGTGTGCAGTTCTGGTCGCCACACCTTAAAAAGGATATTATAGCTTTGAAAAAAGTGCAGAAAAGGGCAACTCGAATGATAAAAGGGTTGGAACACTTTCCCTATGAGGAAAGGTTAAGGCGCTTAGGTCTCTTTAGCTTGGAGAAACGACGACTAAGGGGAGACATGATTGAGGTTTATAAGATTATGCATGGAAAAGAGCAGGTAGAGAAAGAGGTACTTTTCTCCCTTTCTCACAATACAACAACTCGTGGGCACTTCATGAAATTGCTGAGTGGTCGGGTTAGAACGGATAAAAGGAAGTACTTCTTCACCCAAAGAGTGAGTCACACGTGGAATTCACTGCCACAGGAAGTGGTGGCGGCTACAAGCATGGACGGCTTCAAAAGGGAATTAGATAAGCATATGGAGCAGAGGTCCATCAGTGGCTATTAGCCACAAGGTATAGGGGATACAGAGTGTTGGGCTGGATGGGCCTTTGGCCTGATCCAACATTGGCGTCTCTTATGTTCTTATATTATTTATGACTATTTCACATTTTGCAATTAGGTTTTATAGGAATGCGAATGACAGACGGTTCCATCTTTTCCCTAGACGTGATCCTAGAGGGGCAGTGGATTCCCTCCAGGAGTGCTTGGAGACAATAATGGACTGGATGGGAATGAGGTTGAAGCTGGTTCCTTGCAGATATTACCATAAATAGTGATGATCACTTTACAGGGCAAAGGCCCTGAAGTCTGGGGATGTAAGACTTGTGGTGGTCTAAAGCTTACTCTGGGGTGCAGAACATTTAAAGTTCCTTCCTTCCTTCCTTCCTTCCTTCCTTCCTTCCTTCCTTCCTTCCTTCCTTCTCCTTCTCTCGACAGTTGTACAGGATCCTGAAGGAGGAAGGGGGGTGGGGGGATGCGAGTGAGCATCTCTACTTAAAGCAAATTTTCAATACCATGTACAAAGAAAATGACAAGTTCTTTATTGTGTTTGCATGGTTTTATTTCTGTGTGTGTGTGTGTGGCATGCACTCAGCAGCTGGGCTTCCTTCTCAGCCTGGAGGTTGGCAACCCCATAATTGGTGAGCATGCATGGGGGGGCACCAGAAGGTTGCCTCACCTAGAGTACAAAAACCCTGGAGCCGGCCCCGAGTGTGGAGGTCCAAACCTCATTTTGGGTGCAGAGGGCACTTCCTTATTCCAATCTTCTTTGAAATACAGGCCTCTGGGAGGAACTCTGAATGGACTCCCTCCCTCCCCCCCCCTAGTGGGGATCCAAACCAGCTTACATTGCTCTCCTCTCCTCAGTTTTATTCTCACTAGGCTAGACTGAGGTTGCGAGACTAACCCGGGGGCACCCAGCAAGTTTCCAAGGAAGAGGGGGGAGGATTTGAACCTGGGTCTCCCAGGTCCTATTTTGACACTCTAACCACTATCCCCACACTGACTATATTTGTGAATCAGCCTCATCCACAGGAGCCCATAACCAGGAGTTTAATCCAGATCATGCAGAGGATAGGTGATCACTTGGCTATTGAGGCAGTACATGGCCCAGGCCCATTCCAGTATCCAAAAGTCAGGCCTTCAGTGCTGAAGGGCCATTAGATCCAGCTTTGTGTATAACACCTAAACGATGTCTATGGTCCTGGACTGCCTCTCACCATTGTCTCCTGGGGCACCAGCAGCATCTTGCCGCACTTTTCCATGTTTGGATGGATCACTTACAGAATTCAGTAAACACTGAGGTTTCCAAACATTTTTCAGAGCTACTGTCTTTTATGAGGATTCTGTCTCTTTTTTATTTGTTTGTTTTACTTCATTTATACTCTGCCTTTCCCCCACATGGGGTCCCAAAGCAGCTCACATCCTTCTCCTCACCTCCATTTTATCATCACAAGCACCCTATGAGGTAGGTTAGGCTGAGTGTGTGTGACTGGCCCAAGGTCACCCAGTAGGCTTCCATAGCAGAGCAGGGAATCAAACCCGGGTCTCCCAGATCCTTGCCCTTCACTCTAGCCCAAGAGTCCCCTGTCTTTTTGAGCCCACGGGCACCTTTGGAGTTCTGACACAACATGGTGGGTGCAGCCACAAAAATACCTGCTGCAGTAGGTGGGGCCAGCCACAAAATGGCTGCCACACTGCTTACCTTTCAACTCACAGTGAAGATCTTTGTGCTGTGGTGGCAGCGACTGCCAAAGCAATGTTTTTTAAAATCTGCACAGCCAATCAAGTCTCCAGTGGCCAGTGCTGAGCAAAGTATGTTTTATGCTATTTTAATAGTTTATGGGTTATGTGAAATCGGCATATCTTGCCGTCTTTTGTAAGCCACCCAGAGCCTGTTTACAGGGCGGGCAGGGTATAAATATAAGTATAAATAAATAAATGATAAATAAAAGCCCTGCCTGACCTCACCCACTCCCTAAAAACAATTGGCAGGCATCAGGAAAAGTGTCAGCAGGTGCCATGGTGCCCATGGGCGCTACACTGGGGACCCCTGCTCTAGCCAAGAGACTGCATTGGCTTCTGGAAAGTGTTTGGACACTTCTGCTCTTCCAGAAATACAGTAGTAACCAGGGTCTTAACTCTGGGATCTACTTTAGCGATGTATTTCACCCGTAGATGAAGAGCTGCATTGGCTCCTAGTTTGTTTCCAGGCACCATTCAAATTGCTCTTTTTAACTTAGAGAGATCTTAGTGCTGACCATGGGAGAATGTCCTGTCTGGTGTATCAAAAGTAGGATATAAACCCCCAGGCTTGGTTAATATTACTGCAGTACAGCACATAGAATGGAGCTACGGTGGCTCAAATGGTTAAGATGCTGAACTGCAGGCTGTGGAAGGTTGGTAGTTCAGCAGTTCGATACCCGGGTGCTGCAGGATGGAGTGAGCTCCCGTCTCTAGTTCCAGCTCCTGCCAACCTAACAGTTTGAAAGCAAGAAATTGCAAGTAGATAAATAGGTACCACTCTGGTGGGAAGGCAACAGTGTTCTGTGCGCCTTGGTGTTTAGTCACGCCGGCCACATGACCATGGAAATGTCTTCAGACAGCGCTGGCTCTTCGGCTTT